TTCCTGTATGAATGGCAATTGGGTTACAATATATTCATGGTTTGTTGATAGTTTCTAAGGTTAGTCTTAATATTCGGTGTACCGTAAAAGTGTCTCGGGATTTAGTGAGTTCTGGAAGTAGTTTTACAACGGCGTATCTAGTTTCTTTAACCCGGTGAATGTGCCACAGACACACATGCAGCACCAACTTGTGCTGTCACTGAGTGTTGTAAGGTATGTTCACGCTTTTAGACATAAATCAGTGCAGGACTAATGTATCGCCAAAGTTTCTTACTTTACTGAAGTGGACTTTCATCACTGACTGTTACACTCCAAGCAAATCAAAAAATTCTTATCCAGGAACATGAGGAAATAGCTTAGTAACGATTTCATATCAATAACACGATTGTATAATGCATTTATGATATTCTGTTTATGAAGCACCTAGAAATAATACATCATAGTATTTGTGCGCAAATGCTAACATAATAAATAGAGAGTCAGCAAATCACTAAATGATTCAGGGACCATTAATGAATTTCAATTTCGTTCGGAAAACAACTGAAGAACCAGAACGAGTATAGCTCGGCTTGGCTGGAATATATATGCGAACGCAGATGATAGGGCTGCTCACATTTTTTTCTGATTACTATGGAAGTGCACTTCTGAACAATATCCTGTTAGTATCTGCTTGTTGAAACCTCTGCGTCTATCTCTTTGAACGCAGTATGTAAGAATGACAACCACAGACAGTTAGTTTTGCAAAGGGTGTCTGATCCTAAAGGTTTGATAGATCACCATCTAGGGACTGTTCTTTAGAAATCCTCAACAAAACTGTTTAGAGACGAGCGACCGAATGTTTCCGGTTAGCATTTTATTAAGTTAGAATAGAAAAATCTCAGATACAATGCTATGTAAACACTCAAGCTTTCACACAACGTGTGCGATATGTTGACCTTTGTTGTTTGTTTCTCTGATTGTCGAAAGCAGCATCGAGTTTGTAACTTCTGAAGAAACTCGGCTTTCAACATGAAGCATCATAAATCCCCTACGGCAGAGATCAAGTGGTTGAAATGATTGTTTCTGGTCAGGAGGCTCTTAGCAAGTCCGTTTTGTATAGAGTCAGGTTGTTAACCTATACTCAATCCTCCTGGAACTGGCAGTAACCCTAGGAGTGTTCCGGGCAGAGTTGTAGGCCTTAACGTTGAAAAGGAAAAAACAGACCCTTATATACATCACACTTAATGGGGAACGTCTAGGAACTTCAAACTACCTGAATGTCATCACTGATAAAGATAAAGGACCTAATATAGATATGAAGGTACAGATTAGCAAGACAAGGTCAGCAATACTACAAGTGAAAGACATCTGAAGCTGAAAACAACTGTCGATCAACACCAGAGCCAGAATTTTCAGTGAAACCGTCGTTCTTCTACTACTGTACGGTGTTGAATCTCGAAGAATCATCGTCAGAAAGTGAAGATATTTATGCACAGGTGTTTGTGTACGATATTCAAGATCCGTTGGCAAAAGACCAATGGCAGTAATTAGCTGTGGTAGAGAACATATCAGCTTCCAGCTGGAGTAAAACAGGAAAAAATGCTGAAAGTAGGTACGATACACGGTAATTTAGACCACGAAAGAGAAATGAGTAACAGTAATAAAACTTAGTATTCTAGCAGCGCATTGAATATTTACTGCATACATCAAACTTGTCTAATGTTTAGCACATGATTTGCTGTAGTTACATGGTAGCTCTTAAGTATTGTTCGTTTGCAGTTTTTTGCTCCAGGAATCTATAAAATAGAACGACATTGGTCGTCTATTTGTAATAAACCAACGACATTTTGGTCGATTATTTGTGAATTGACAATAAACTTTGGTACCTAACTTTGGAATTCGGTTTTACCTTGATTTGGGATCGTGAATTGCAAATAGATCGACACACAGTGCTTATAAGGATCAAGGAGCAATAAATTGGACGTAACACTAATTTCTAAAATTTGCTGTGGGCCCAGATTCAATTGTGAGGATGATATGTGAGGTCTTCCAGTTATTAGGGTAACACTGTTGAGAACGGTATGGTGAATAGTTTGAGAAGAATAACGCATAGCGCACTGATCCCATTGTTAAGCATGCTGGCTGGAAAAGCATCTGATTCTTTAATCTGGGAGAGTTTAAGTGTACTAATCGCCTAAAAAATATTTTGTACACTGAAGATTTCACAGGAAGGCATATGATCAGCAGCGATTCATTTGCTGGGTTTTTGTTTGCTGAAAAAGCATAAAAATGCTCGTAAAACAGCTCTGCCATACTCTTAGGATCTTTAAAAATTTGGTAGTCCTTGATAAACACACCCCCTCCTTTCAACTAGGAGCATTTAAGATTATTTCTACAGATTTTAATAAGTGCACTATTCAGCCTGACAGCACGTTTTTTCCTGTAAAACGTCTTTTTTCGCATGTATTATCTCTGCATCTTTACTTATTTCTGTCATCTTAACTAACGAGAAGTCATAACGGTTACAAAGTCTGGAAGCATGTCTTTCAAGACGTCGTCATATACGATCTGGCATATATTAGTCCTTGGCAATTCTGGACCTCCAGCATCATAAGGGTGCGAGATGATGGAAGATATTACTTGTGTTGCGATAAGATAAATTTATTAGTTCGTCTGTATTGTTTACGGTAAAGCAGTTAATCCAGTCAATACTTGGGGCAATGCCGGAAGTTTTCCAGTCAATGTTAATATAGTTCCTACGAAGTGTAATGGATTTATATTTTATAGTTGTGACTTCTATATCAGGACTGCACATGACGATATTATGTTCGTTACCTGGGAACAGTTTTCCAGCGTATACAGTGTTAGGAATGGGGTTGCTTGTGAAAACTAAATCCAACATATTTTGATTTCTGGTTGGGCCGTCAATATATTTAGTCCACACTACAATCTCTAAGCATTCAGTAAATAATTCAGAACGCCTATGTGCTTTGGCTGGGAACTAAGAGATTTCGGTCATACTAAAGTCCCACAACTAGCCTTACCTGTAAAAGGCAGAGGTGAAGCGAACGTGAATACTTCTAACAGTATTGCTAGATTTCTTGTTGGTGCGTCAGGCTGACGGTAAGCACAACCGAACAATCAGGAAACTGTATTTGAGGGTTTCCGAACGATCAACACAGAATCTTGTTCCGGCATATCACATAAAAGTGAGTTAAGGATAAAGTGGGCTTATATCAGGCATTCTCCTCCTTGCCCTTGTAACGTATCACTCCGAAGTAGACCAGAAATATTACTGATGGTCCATAAGTGATGATTGGTTAATAGTCACAAACATGACTAAAATGGTCTTTTTGATACAGATCGAACCAGTGTTGATAAGATGTACATTCAACAAATGTTTAAAATCGATTCGACTGGGCGTTTTGTTGGTGAAAAGGGTTAGGAAGAAACTTATTAAATAAGTTACTGAAGTTTCCATGAGGAGTTTTTAGCCCAGAAGAAAGGGTGAGAACGGTGCCTGTTTGACATAGTATGAGGGGAGTAACTGTATATTCCGCATGTGGTATGAAATGACTTGAGCTATATGTCAAGCCAGCGGTACCACAAGTGGCTGTATCCCAGAAAATGTTGAATAGGCTGGCAGTGAAGTGCACCACTGTTTTTAATATAGTCTTGGTTATACAACTCGTAATTTTGGTTAAATTTATTTGTAGTAAACGGACATCCAGGAGTTAGAAGTTCTAATTTCAGACGAATTATGGCGTCTCATGAATAAAGCCGAGTTTCCTCGGAAGTCATAAGGCCAATACCCCTTCTGACGACATGAGCAATAATTCTTTTAGGTATATGCAATGTTCGAACTATATGGGAGACCAGAAGACTATTCCAAGTTGCTGCGAAAATGAGAACATACAACCTGGATGAGCTTGGAATCAGTGAAACGAATTGGACGCAAGTTGAACAACTTAGACTAGCTTCAAGAGAGCTGCTGTTATACTTCGGCCATGAAGTAGGAAAAGGGCTCACACACAAGGAGTTGCACTGATGCTGTCCGAGCAAGTACAAAAGGCACTGGATAAGGTGGGAATCTACTGGACCCAGGATCATCAAAGCATCCTTCAAAACAAAGAAAGAGGACATTACAATGAACATCTGCAATGCTGTGCACATACCAACGACTACAATGACGACGATAAAGTTCAATTCTAGGAGAGGCTGCAGTCGATCGTCGACAGATGCTCATCAAATGATTTGACGATTCTAATGGGACACCTAAATGCCAAGGTTGGCATGAACAACACTGGAAATGAAGACATCATGATAGCAGACCACAAGCAGACCGAGCAGACACACCAGCGAGTGAATGCGCGAATGAATTGATAAGATAAAAATGTGCATATATATACAAAGGCAGATATTTGAGTCATCTTGATATTTACGAGATTATTAGTAAAGCGAATAGGATGAATATGTGCGCAGGTGTACACAATGTTCAGTCATACTAATCCATACAAACCACACAATAATAAAGGCCAATGGTACATATGAGTAAATGTTATACAAATGACCTGGTTAAGTAAATTAACCGAAAGGCTTGACCTAATAAAATGTAAGCGAATTCAAATATATGTGAGGTCATTACACTTACACTTCGGTCCTCTTGCAAAATGTTTACTACCAATCAGTTAATTTGTCGACTCATTTATCTACTTAGTTCTGAAATCTTTGCCTTCTCATTAGCATTAGAATTATCCCCTTATTATTCTCCGCATTGCGACTAGCTGACCTCCGACTCGTGACGCAATAGCTGTTGGCATCCAGAAACACTCTTATACTGGGGCGAACGCACTTGCTCAAATCATGGGACGTACAAATCCATGAATAACTGCCAACTGGCTACAATTAGTACAGTCTAGCGACTAGACTACTATCCGTTAAATATAAACAAATACTTGGAACCATACCAAAACAACAACAGACGAGTGCAAGGAAAGCAATTGATTTATACTAGCTGGATTAAAAGATATTGGAAATTGAAACGCAGCCACTCCTTTTTGAATGGAGCTGCTCAAGGTCTTCCTAATAAAAGAGTGAACCCCAGTTTCAAGTCTCTTTTGTTGGCACTAGGATTTGCGAGTGCCTTGGTTAGGATGCTGCAGGTATGAATTATGTCATCCTTACGAAAGAACTTCCTTTAGCATTTCAGGCTATTAAGAAACCTCCCGAAATTAGCGCATACCTACATATCCCCCCTCCAAAGCTTAAATAAACAGCAGTTAATAAGCTCACACAATATACTCAACTTTAAACCGAAGGCTGCTGAAATCAAGTTTTTTCTTCCCGATGTTGTTAGATTGACCAATCTCGAGAAATGTGTGTTCGAAGCGCCTACTTTTGTGAGCGCGATCAGAATCAACAAACCCATTGCATTGCCGTCGCTACCGGATGTCATTCCAATAGAACTCAAAAACGATATCACAGTTCGAAGGCGCAAGATGAAAAAACACCAAAAGAAGAGACTACGTAAGCGTCATGCAGTGTTGCTTCGAAAACTGCAGATGATGCGTGAGAAAAAGGAGGAAGGCAAATTGCAACAGTTATTAGAATTTTGGAGAATACGTTCAGAAGCATGGGATCCATCTGATAAAATAAAAAAGCAGCTACATTTTGCCAGAAGATCCGGTTATTACATAGATATACTAAATACTAAAGGTAGTCCATTTTTCAAAGAATAAATGATTGGCACGAAATCTTACTTTCTTGATTCCATTATTAGTTCCTGTAAATAAACTGTAATAACTTACATTTTAGGAGCCAGAAGGTCGACCACGTACTAAAGATTTATCGAATCCCATATATGCATCAAAATGTGGCCAAGAAGCATTGCAGGATATGCTAAGTGGACTAAGAGATCTGATGTTGTTGTTCTATGCGTGCATGGATCCTAAAACTCGTGGTATGAGTACTCACCAAGCATCTATCGCTGAACCACAATGTGCGGAAACTTTGCAGCAGATGAAAAATAACAAGGAGATTCTTAGACAGGTATCAGTGGAAAATTATTTCGGATGGTAGCTTGTAGTGGTTTCAATCACGTTTTATTTATTGCAATTGGTGACAGCCAGTTTTACAAGATAAACTAAAATGCGCTGGCGGCCGTCACCCATTAAACTACTATTGTTTCATCATACGAGCAGTAAAATTGTCTGTCCTAGAATTTTTTTGATTGCTCTACGCTCATTTGTGTAAGGGACGGACACATACGTATATAAAGTCCAGAGATGAGCAGTTCTCACTTAAATGTTTCGAATACCCACCAAATATAATGACTTGTTGATAATTTCTAACACAAATATATGCGTAACCTCGACCAAACGGCGTATTGAAGCCGTGGTTCCATGTTGATTATCTGAAAAGGTGATACAATAAATCTTTATCTCTAGCTAAGTTGCTGTTAATTGAGTTTCTTATTACTTAAAGACTAGTAAGACTTCATTCTTGTTTATTGAAGCTACAGAATTCCACTTGCTCACTTGTTTTAAGATATGGAGATATTTTTGTGTCCATGACTCGTTAGTTGTTGTCCATCGAACTTCGTTTCTTATCTTAAATCCGCTAACATTTCATATTATCTTCTATGGTATTGTGTAATAAGATGTCACCCAGTTCATTAGAATGACTGAAAAAAAGAGACACGAACTCACAGATTAAGCGCACCTTCATAGATCAGCCATGTACAAATCGGCGAAAATTTGGTTGGTCTTGTTCGATTTTTAAAATTCAGTATACACGAGTGCAAAACTACAACACAGGAACTTTATATATGATGAGTCTGAAACTGCTTGTTTCGCGAAATGTAATTTACGTACATGAGTCAGCATGATATGATTGTTGCTTCATTCTCCATTCTGTTTCAGGCCTTTCATGTAGTAAAAGGAAGTTGTGACCGTTTACTTCCTGCTGACATGTCTAACCTTATCCCTTACGTAGATACCCCAATAACAAACAAGGAGCCAAGTGCTGAATTAGAACAATTAATTATGGCTCGCGAAAAAGCAATCAAAAGGTTATTGACAGTAACAGAAGAACTAGAAAAACTACGCCACATTTTAACGAAGACAGTATGGGAACTCAACGACCTCACTGACTTAAATGTTCAGAAATTTTGATTATTATCCCCCTATTTTTTTGTAATATTTGCATTTTATTTATCTGAGAATACAAATGCACACTACTCACTCGTTTCATGCACATCTTTCGTCTAATATGATAAAATGCTTGATTCAGTTTTATATGTCATAAATCTAAATGTAAGAAATTTCTAAGCCTTACTAGCACACGTTTCTTCAAAAATGTACGAAGTACAGATATCTTCAATAATCTTGATGTTACGCTCATCTAATTCATTGAACTAGCTGCAAAATCCTTACTACCGTTTTGAGTTACCCCAACGTCTACCAACTTCATCCGTCTCGAAAATATTCACTATCCAACTGTCTTCAATAAAACAATGAAATTAGAGGAGAAATATGTGTATTCATCAGTGATACAGTCATCATTGATAAGTAGGTTTGCAACACTGAAGTGTTTAGAAAGAAATTAGGACTCCACACAAAAAAGGAAGTATCAACCAGAAACTAATCTAAAGTGTATCTCCAAGTACCGGAACTGAACGTTGCTAAACACTTATCACTGCATAAGTATGTCAGAATGTTTGGCGGGTTTTGTCGGTCGCAAGAAATGTTCACCCAGCTTTTGTACGATACAAGGATGCGGTAAGGGTTCACACCGCAGTGTAAACGGCAGCATAAGCAAATTCGAAGTACTGCTAAACGGATACGCAAATCCCAGGGTAAGATGTTTTCGAGGCATGGATACCTATAGAATAGCCAAAAAGTTTGAAAAACATAAATTTACCACCTAAGCATCGTTAAGTCGTATTGTGTAACTATTGGGTGAGCGTTATGATGCAGTATGGGTCTCGTACCCTCAATTAGGTGAAAATACCATCTCGGTGTTTCCCTAATTAACTTGCAGACAGAAGTTTTGGTATGAAGACGCTCCTATTTGACAGAGGTAATGAGGTGGAAAGCAGGAGTCTTAACATACACCTTCCAAAGTAGTGCACGAAGAACACCTATCATGATTGTGACGATCTAGAATCCTCAGCGTTTATTGCTACTAGACTTTAAAAAACGTCCAGGACGTAAAAGTTTCTCCAAATTACGCCTATTTCATACAGTAATTTCCCCAGTCAACTTAACGCACACAATCGTGATAGTAGCAAGGTGGTTTATGTTCGACAGAAATAAAACACGAACTAGTCATATAATTGGAGTTGCGTTTTTGAACTGAGTGACTTAATTGTAAAGCTTTTATTGCCCTGAGTTAAATTATTGGGGCTCTTAGGATCTTTCCATGTGGCTAACATTCTGTCCTTTCAATAGTGATTTCAAATGATTGTTACCAACGTTTGCGTTATCTTTTGCACATTCTTTCCGACTATCTACCCCTTTGACCTAATTTCTAGCCATTGTTGTGTATATCCGTAATCGATGGATTTAACATCAGAAGTCAAGGACTATTTCCCGTCAGTTACTGAATATCCAGCAAGCGTTAAAACTCTGGAGAAACAGTTAATACCAGTAAATAATTATTAAATATCCTAAGATGTAAAGTACAGATACACAAACATACCAATTACTACGGAGAAGACTTGAAGATGCCCAGTTGAGCAATGTTGGGACAACACCACTTGGTTTAACAGCCAAATCGGCAGGTAGAAACGGATTGTTGTAAACCACTAGCTGGTTAAGTCGACGAGACGGCAGTATGGACGGTAAAGAATCCAATTTGTTATCATTCAAAATAAGCACACAGAGACGATCTAACTTGTGCAGAAAGGCAACTGGAAGACCGCGCAAGCCGTTATCTGTTGTGAAAGTACAGGAAATGCACCATATTACTATGACTTGTAATTTGTTGACAAATAAGTAAAACGACAGGTCGAATCACTAAAGCAATGTTTAGTTCTTGGTTGTTTTCATCAAGCATTTTCTCATAATACAGTTCTCTAGATGTAGACACGCACCGCATTGATTATCTTATACTCTTGCGTTCCTATATAACACGAGACGTATCAGCAAAAGCTATTTCTTCTTATTTGCGGAAACAAGATATTATGACAACTACTATTTTCAGAAACTTAAGTGTCCTACTGTTCTTCTTACTGTGATATGCACTCTAATCATATTACATAGTTATGAGGTTCTTCATTTTACATGTAGTGCACACAGTAGCGTTAAAGGTACCTTTGACAAAGCATCGTCTTCAGCTACTGTTCGTCTAGGAGGTTATGAACAAAATTACTTTTTAATTGATACGTAGATATATAATAACACTTTGAAAACCTATTTGATTGTTGTTAAGCTGAGTATTGATCGGTTTCGGAGTAATTTCGTAAAGTACATTAGAAAGAAAACTGAGAGATCCCACTTTTTTCAATGTGTTTAAGCTTAATAGCATTTATTTTCAAACAGTTTTAATGAAAAGCCTTAATTTGTGCTACTTTATCACCCAATCGATTTACGTCCTCCCAGTCTACATGAGGTTGAGAAAGTTATAGGAAATCTGAAGCGAAGTAGAGCAGCAGGTCCTGATAGGCTTACCCCTGAGATGTTTAAGGATGGTGGTCCAGTTTTAACAGTTAGACTGACCGAAATCTTAGGTAGAATCTGGGAACTGGACGTAATCCCATCTGACTGGTCTCAGTCGCTAATTGTCCCAATCTATAAGAAAGGATAAAAGTCCTCTTGTGACAATCACAGGGGAATCAGTCTAACTAATATAGTTTCTAAATTGTTAGCCTCGATTATGCTTAGACGTCTAACTAGTGCTCGTGAAGAGCAGACTAGAGAAAACCAGGCTGCTTTTCGACCTGTACGTGGTTGTATAGACCACATCACACTACGACAGGTCCTGGAGCACAGACACACATTTAGACGTCCGACAACAGCCGTGTTCCTGGACCTAAAAGCGGCATTTGACTCAGTGGATCGTGAGGTTCTGGTGGCAGTGTCTGTCATTGAAAGGTGTACCACAGAAGTACATTAACCTTATACAAGCTCTCTACTCGAACAACACTGGTCAAGTGAGAGCATATGGCAAACTGTCATCTGAATTCTCTACATCAAGCGGTGTCCGTCAGGGATGTCCACTTTCTCCATTCTTGTTTAATTTTTTCATAGATATGCTCCTAGACATAACATTATCCTCGTGTGAATTTTCAGGAGTAGACCTTCTACCAGGAAAGCCGCTTACTGATCTAGAATATGCCGATGACATAGTTCTATTCGGTGAAGACGCTGACAAAATGCAGTCTTCTGACTACCATAAGTAACAATGCGAGCATGTTCGGGATGCGGTTTTCCCCCTCGAAATGCAAAATGTTGCTTCAAGACTGGGTTGCATCGGCACCTGAACTAGTGAGAGGGAGTGAAGCAGTTGAGCGTGTCGACCGCCTCACTTATCTGGGTAGTCTCATCAGCGCTGATGGCCTGGTGACTGACGAAATCTCGGCACGGATACAGAAAGCTCGATTGGCTTTTGCCAACCTGCGCCACTTATGGCGTAGGCGTGATATCCGTTCGCTAACCAAAGGACGGGTGTACTGCGCAGCAGTTAGCTCCGTTCTCCTATATGGCTGTGAAACATGGCCGTTAAGAGTAGAAGATATTCGTAGGTTACTGGTTTTCGATCATAGGTGTATTCGAAGCATTGCTCGTATATCGTGGGACAACCGAGTAAGCAATGCTGTCGTTAGGAAACGAGCACTAGGTAAGGATAGCAGATCAATAGATGAAGTATTGAAACTTCATCAGTTGAGGTGGTTGGGACATGTGTTACGAATGCCTAACCACCGACTGCCTCGACGAGCTTTGTTTTGTGGTGTAGGAGTAGGTTGGAAGAAATCTAGGGGCGGCCAGACCAAAACATGGCACAAATCCATGAAGTCACTGACAAGTGGACTGAGTCATGTTGGTAGATGTAGACTACCTGGTTGGGGTCCGCGAGACGATAGTCACCAATGGTTAGAGACCTTGAACGATATGGCTCAAAATCGTTTGCAGTGGCGCAAGTGCATCCATTCGTTGAACTCTCTCAAATCCTAATCTTATGGATTCGTCAACACCTCTACCTTTGTCTTTCTAGTCTTATCTTACTGAATTATACTTCTTGAATAATATCTTCAAACCCTAGTCTTCTTCATTACCATTAATACCTCTACCATCTTTATCACTATGGGATTTGATTTGACATTTGTGTCTCTGTGCTAATGTGGTACGGCAACCTGAACTTATGTACATACGTACGAAGTCCTACGTTGCAACTGACTGACTGACTGACTATATCACCCAATTATGTTTGTTTTGTAAAACTACGGAGATACTAAGTCTTACTAACTAGACAGGCAGCTATGTAAATTGTAGCTGAACTCGGTTCAGTTAGTAACGACGTGGATTAAGTCTTAACTCCTCGTTATCAGAAACTAATACGTTGGTTTATCCTTACTATATACCTTATTTATATTTAGTAACCAAGGAGTAAAAGTGTATTTTTAATAGGTAAATGAACACAAAAGGTCATTTGCTTACAATCAGTAAAAATATTTTGGGTACTGAATAGTCAGCATTTTAGCCCACTGAGCATGATCTTTATCAAGGGTTTAATTATGTACTATTTCAAAAGAACAAGACATTTTAAGATTTATATAGATATGTGTCTAGAGTGCAAAAAATGTGTAAAACTAGTAACTATGCCGAAAAAGTCATTGTATATACGCCTACAATTTAGAAGCGATGAACTTAGTGCAATGCCAATACTAAAGCTACAGAGGGCTATCCAAAGAACCCTTAATAAAGCTAAACTACAATTAATGTTTTACGTACAAAGGTTAATTCAAGATTGAAAGATAAATTAACTAAACTAGCCACCTCATGTATCTATCGATTCAACTGCTCAAGCGGAGCAAGTTATATCGGCGGATATCCTAGGAATTTCTAATTTCATGCTCGCGAGGATCTTTTAGTGTGGTTACGCAAGAGTACAATTAAATCCGTTAACAACTCGGTCCTAACTCACTTATTAGAAACGGGCTATACGGCTAACATAGAGGAGTCATGTGCTATAACCTATAATGTTAATAGCAATCTGTTAGGCTAAGAATCCTCCAGATAGCTGAAGCAATAGCTATTCAGATTAAAAAGCCAAAGCTTTGTGTCCTGAAGAAATATTTTCAACCACTCCTTTCACCTAGGCCAACTTCAGATATAACTACTAACAATCATTTTGATGATAATAATCTGATTAGTATCCATGCAACCTCTCTCCTTGCATTTCTGTAGTTTAAACTTATTCACAAATATTATGATTATTATCACTGTTATCATTATTACAAAAGTTTTGAGGAATTTATTTAACGGCCAATCCTAATAACTAATTTGTACTCCATTCTTGATATTCTATATATTACGTGATTTCTGATTTGCAATTATACTATAATCTCTTACCCCATGTTAACCGAATTTATTTTGATCATTGGTAGTCCCATAATTTCATTCTACGTATAAATTTATTCAAGTGAACACTTCCTACTGGTTATTCCAATAATAACAATTTATGTAACGAACAGTTTTAAATCCACACGCTAATACTTCTACTACCTCTACTACTATGGGATTCGAATTGACAACTGCATCTCTGCGCTAATGTAGTGCGGCAACTTGAACTGATGTATGTGCGTACAAAGTTCTACGTTGTAGCTGATTGACTGATATGCTGTAATTGTAAACGATGTATTTTGTCTCAAACCTGTTCACTTTTGGAATATATAGCTGTAGAACCTGTGTTTAAAGTGTTTTCTCATTGAAATCGTGAGCCGATCAATGTCAGACCACCATTGAAAACCTAGAAGCACTAGAAGGCCGTATAGTCTTAGTATGGGACTCCCCAGCAGTGAGCATCTACGACCCCGTGAGTAGAGACTGAGTCCATGACCTTCGGTCTCGTGCAAGAACGCTTAGCCTCTAGACCACTGAGCTAGTATTCAACGGTGTTAATGTCCTGCAATCAATGTTGTGGATACGCACTGCTGAGGAGTCCTATAATAGAACGAAACGGCTTTTCAGTGCTTCCAGGTTTTCGATATCGGTTTAGAATAGATTAGTTCATGACTTGAATGAAACTCGACAATCCCTACAACCCTAAAGTAATAATTATTGTGTGCTCACTAGTGACTAGCTTGGAGAGGAAATTCCTAGAGTTCTAGTGGGAAACTGGGACCAGTAGGCTTCAACGGTGTCGGATTTGAGGCAGTTACCAACTGAAGAAATTGGCAGATGTTCGCGCAACGTCATAGACTGATTGAAGTAAGACATTAATACCGTTGAATGCTGGCTCGGAAAAACAATAGTTCATATGATTTTTTAACTACAGAAGGCTTTATTTATTAAACGGAGTAACACAGTTAGGGTAAAACAGTTAACGAATTCCCTTCATTCAGATACGTTTTAATTTGACAAGAATTTAGAGGAAAATTTAAAAATATATATATTAAATGACTGAAAGCTCTTACCTTAAAGGATCTACTACTAGGATAGAAATATCAAAACTGGATTTATGACGAGAAGAGACTACTGTCCTAACCGTAGTTATTAGTTTCTTCGTTAAATTGTGAACAAATTAAAGTTTTAGAACATGCTATGACCTAGATAGTATGCCCTTTTTTACACTACTAGTACTGACACTAAATCTTTTGACATCAACGAATATCATAAAGATGAAAGCTTTTGTAGGACAATGATTAAGGATTTAGATTATTCACCCCACCTTAAAGTCACAATACTGTTAAAACTACAAGCCACGAGGCTGCCTGAGCATTTATTTTACTGGAGTGAGATGGAGACGCAAGACCTATCGATGACTGACTACTTAAACCAATAAATCAAGAATTTGTGTACCTGGAAGTTTAGGAATTCAGTCAGTCAGTTACAACGTAGAACTTCGTACGTAAGTACATCAGTTCAGGTTACCAAACCACATTAGCACAGAGACGCAATTGTCAATTCAAATCCCATAGTAGAAGAATTACTGCTAATGGAGATCAGGATTTGAAGATAATATTCAAGAAGTATAATTCAATGAGATAAATTTAGAAGGAGAAAAATAGAGATTATGAAGAATGCAGAAGCTTATAATTTCATAGAACACAAAGAGTGGACGCACCTGAGCCACTGCAAACGATCTTGAGCCATGTCATTCAAGGTCTCTAACCACCAGTGACTTTCGTCTCGCGGACCCCAACCAGGTAGCCTACATCTACCAACATGACTCAGTCCACTTGTCAGTGACTTCATGGGTTTCTGCCATGTTTTGGTCTGGTCGCCCCTAACTTTCTTCCAACCTGCTCCTACACCACAAAACAAAGCTCTTCGAGGCAGTCGGTGATTGGACATTCGTAACACATATACCAACCACCTCAACTGATGAAGTTTTAATACTTCATCAATTGATCTTCCAACCCTACCTAGTACCCGCTTCTTATGGCAGCATTGCTTACTGGGACACCTGAGTAATGCTTCTAAGATGTCCATGATCGAAGACTAGTAACCTACGAACATCTACTCTTAACGAATGCTAGCAATCTATAAATACCCCCACCGGTAGCTGATGGAAATATGATCTAGTTGGGTTCAACGTTGAGACGACTTTTCAGGTTGCCAGGTCAAAAGATGCTTCCCATTATGCCTAAAGTTAGTGTTTGCTAGAAATAGGCATTTATCTGAACACAGTTGCAGCAGACGGTCGCAATTATCTGTTCTCTGAGCCGCGACACCATAAGATCCACCCAGATGTCTTTCATTTTCACCAAGTCTACCTACATGAGCATTAAAGTCACCAGCCATTATTACTATATCAGAGTGCCTAACTTTTTGGAGGAGGCCTGAAAGCTTTCTGTAAAACTCATCTTTCACATCGTCTGAACTGCAGTCAGTGGGGGCATAGGCAGATGCGACGAAGAGGCAACGACGGGTGTCCCTATATTTCCGAGTCCTTACTGTCCCGTTCAGTCGGACAGCGCACAAGCGACTACCTACTGGGATGCACTGTAGGAGAGATAGTTCAGCACTACGACTCAATGCTATACCTACGCCAGCGAGGCCACGGGAAGCAGCATCAGGACTTCCAGATACACAAACAGTAAATCGAGTTGCTTCTTTATCTTGAAATGGTGAGGTCAGGTGAGTGACGCTACTCGGATCCTGTATGTGCGTTTCCGAGACGCAGCATACATCGATTGAGCGAGATTCTAATGTCCCAGCTAAGGAAGCCTGTTACCCTATTTGACACAATGTCCGTACATTAAATGCTCCAACATGTGGTTTGGAACGAGGTTTCAGGGATAACGTTTCGGAACTCGAATCGTTTGCAGCAGAGGTGCGAGGTGATAAAGGAATGTGAGAAGAGTTAGTCGTGAAGATAAGAGAGATGTCAGGGGGTGTAGGAAGGTTTTGATTGTAACCGATTCGATCTCGTGTGCTTTCATAGGAATAGGGGCGGTTGTCACTTCCCGGCTGCCCACACCGTGGGTGTTTCTTGAAGAACCTGAAGAGGAAGGTAGACTAGTATAGGTCTTAGGGACCTGGGAGCTTGACTGCAGAGCCCAAGGGACAACTGCTTGAGGTCGGTCACGCACGACCCTTTTATGAGAGGTTTTTAGAGTATTAGCTTCTTAGTATTAGCCCTTACCGCCGGAGACGGAAAACCCGTGTGGTGTGACATTTTTAGGGTCGACCTTTTCTAATCCTTCCTTTCTTCTGAGAAGGCAGCATCGCTTCAGATGCTGGTTGTCTGAGAAAAGCACTTCACTTCTGTCACACCCCTCTGCAGTCAGCAGTACGACTTCGCCCCCAGACCTTGAGTAGCTGCTTTTAGTCTCACCGTTCTCCAATCGACGTGCCTGGCATGGCAGAACCTACAGGAACATTTGTTTCAGCCAATATAGCTCGGTTGGGTCATTACGATAGGTAAGCCCGACCACCACATCAAGGTAGCAGCTACGATCGGAAGTTTAGGAATTAATTCAATACAACAATAGTTAAGTGATTACAAACTTAATATCACAGTAGAAACTTATGATTAAGTAGTCTGAGAGATTGACTGTTACAATTTATAGTAGTTACGTTAGAAACCATGGAAGAGTCTCAGCATTTACTGACGAAAATTAAGATTCTACAGATGCCTTATAACTAATAAACAGTAATAGTGTTATTTGCATCAAGTAATGCTAAGAATTTTTCTGTCACTTGATAACACTAGGAATAGATTTAAAGGCTTCATTTTACATTCACCTGACAGTAAAAACTACCGTTTGAAAAAGAATTCACTTTACCTAGATTTGAATTGATAATTTCTTTCGCCGCTCTGAATATGATTTTTTCCTCCTCGTTTTTTATATGCACATTAAATATCCTAACTACTCTTATTAAGTTCAATATAATTTGTGTATTCCGGCATCAAGGTGAATAACCTTCTGAAAACATTGCCGTGTTTTTTTATCTTCAATTATTATCTGACCTAACGAACGTGCACGAACTCAAGATTACACATACTTGTAGTAACTTACACGATAGTTTTATCTTACATCTTAATTTCGATATTTTCCGTTTTGTTACATATAACATTTTTTTCGCAAACACACATTGTTCCGTATCTTTGTTTTCTAGGGAGAGAAATTATAGGAACCCACATATATTTGAGTTTTTTCACAATTAACTTGGTTAAACCATTTTATTAATATATTTAAGACAGTGTCATTTGACTGTTGTATATTTGAGTTTGTGTGTGTGTATGACTATAAATACTTAGTCATGTTTCAGCGCGAGAGAGTTGGCTTATTAGCCTTATCGATTTCGCTTCGCTTGTATGCTCTTTATTCTCATGTATGCCTGCTTAAATGGATGCATTAAATAAATTCATCCGTGAAACCGTGTTTTGCTTCTTATTACTGCCGTCGCAAAACAAGGTTAGCCTCAGTATGGTATACGGAAAGGGAAACAGATTTATTTCACTGCATATTCAATCATTCGTCTAAACTGGACTCAAATCGAAGGTCACTAAAACCCAGTTAAGACAGATAGCTTATTTGAAGTATTAGGTAAGACTCACAAACATAAAGAATTTACAATAAAATAATCAACTACCAGTATGATAAATAAACTGGAGCTTACTTGAAAGATTGACGTTCCTAAGGTTTGTAAGAACCCAAAAATCATCTGGTAACCACATCAAATTGTTGCTGCTTAGATCAAGAAATTCCAAGGTTTTAGGTAGTGGCGAACTGCTAGAAACTGATGGCCATCTTGTGATGTGGTTTTTACTTAGACATAAATGAGCCACGTTGAGATCTTGTACTTCCTGAGGAATAGTTTCCAGTAAATTAGCACTCAAGTCGAGAAAACGTAAAGCGGAAAGTTTAAGCAGTCTTGTATCAAACTGACGCAATCTCAATCCTGTTGCAGTTACTTCATGAAGAGCGATACCGAAGCCTTGAGAAAAAGGATAGTCTTCCCGTCTTGTTATAACTAGCCGGCGATGACCGACTTTCCTGACCTAAATGTTTGTGGACTAGTAAAAAGATATACTTCGTTTGTAGCAGGTCTGTTGCTGAGAGTTCCGATAGGTATTTTATTACCCGATTTTATCAGATTTAAAATTTTTACTAGCTTCATTAAATTTGAGAGTTCAGCCTAGGATAAAAAACGAAACAGACTTCGATAAAATCAAGGATCACAAATATGTCAGTTTCTGTAATTAAACTTGCAAAAAAACTAGGACTATACAGTGAACTGATAAGCTATAAGAAGATTCATAAGACTATTTTGGTATGAACTACCCAGAACAAACAAGGAAACTAAGATGTAATAATTTCTTCTACTGTATGGGGCGGAAACTTGGAGAACTACCAAAGCCATCATCCAGAAGATACAAGTATTTATTAACAGTTGTCTACGCAAAATACTTCGGATTCGCTGGCCAGACATCACCAACAACAACCTACTGTGGGATTGAACAAACCAGATTCCAGTGGAAGAGTAAGTCAGGAAGAGGCGCTGTAAGTGGCTAGGACACGCATTACGGAAAGCACCTGGGAGTCACAAGGCAAGCCCTCACTTGGAAAAGAGGAAGGCCAAGGAACACATTACGTCAAGAAACAGTGAAAGACATGAGAATGAACAAAAATTGGACAGAACTGGATAGGGAAGTCCAGGACAGAGGTTGGAGAATACTGGTAGGCGGCCTTTGCTCCATTGAGAGTAACAGGCGTAAGTGAGTGACTAAGTGTGTATCTATGATAGTAAGTACTTGTCTATTTGCTTGCTTGTATTTATTGTGCCTATAAATGTTGTTTTAATTAGAGTGAGGCCTTTTTGCCTCACCCTTACCTTTTTGACCATCCTAAGCAACATTCCGAACATGTTTGTTATGCGGTTCTCCCTCTCTAAATGCAAAATGTTGCCTCAGGATTGGCTTGCATTGGCACCTGAACTAGTGATAGGGAGTGAAGCAGTTGAGTGTGTCGACCGCTTCACTTATCTTAAGAGTCTAATTAGTGCTGTATGCCCGGTGTGTGACGAAATCTCAGCGCGGATACAGAAGGCTCGATTGGCTTTTGTTAACTTGCGTCACCTATGGCGCAGGCAAAATTTCTGTTTGCTAACCGCAGGACGAATTTACTGTTCAGCGGTTTGCTCCGTCCCACTATATGGATGCGAACCACGATCAGTAGCAGTGGAAGATATTTGTATCCTGGGACAACTGAGTAAGTAATGCTGTCGTTAGGAAACGAGTACTGGGCAGGGATAGCAGATCAGTAGACGAAATAGTGAAACCTCATCTGTTGAGGTGGTTGGTACATGTATTACGAATGCTCAACCACCGACTGCCTCGACAAGCGTTGTTTTGTGGTGTAGGTTGGAAGAAATGTAGGGGCGGACAAGTGGGCTGAGCCATGTTGGTAGGTGTAGAATACCTGGTTGGGGTCCGCGCGATGAAAGTCACCGATGATAGTGGTCGATGGTTATAGTCCATGAATGATATGACTTAAAACTGTTTGCAACAGCGCGGGTGTAACCATTCTTTGTGTTCCCTTAAATTCTAATCCTAATTCTTCCTCACCTTTATCTTTCCCATTTCAAGTTGATTTCTTAGATTATATTTCTTTAATAATATATTCGAACCCTAATCTCTCCGATTATTGCTAATACTTCTACTACCTCTACTACAAAGGGGTGTTAATTGAAAATTACATCTCTGTGATAATGTTGTGTGGCAACTTGAACTGACGTACGTAAGTACGAAGTTTTACGTTGTAACTGACTGACTTTTGTTTTTTATGACCTTCATTACTGGTTGTCCCTTTGTATTGACGAATATCTAAAATTTATGTATCCAAAATTGTCGTATTCGACATTTTGATATACCCTTGTCCTTAATGTGTTAAGTTGAAAGGAAATATATGAAGTCACTGGGTATTTATATCTCATAAGCATCAATATTGTTCAATAATAAAGGAGTCAAACAAACAGATATTAAAATGGAAGTTAACCAATTAATCCTAAGGCACGAACAACAGGTTTATTCTTCATTAAGTTTAAAAGTATGTAACAAGTTGGTCACAATGAGGACGAAAAAACTGTGAATTTATTACCGAAACAATCAAATCTTGAACTGTAAAACATCTCAAGATACTTTCAAATTGCAAAGGGATAAATTAGCACGTGGTTAATGGTATTTGTGAATGTCATCTTTCTGAATCCGGGGGTATATCACAGCAAGTGTATTTAAACCTGTATTAGGTATACATATTATTAGGCAGTAGCCTCAACAGTTCTGTAAATAATCAGATGATAATGAGTTAATCGGAAACTATCTGAAGTACACAATTCCTGAGTAATAACTGAGAATTAATTGGACAGTCTATCAGGACAAGGCTGTGAGACGAAAAAGACCTATTTTAACTAACTTATAAGGCTCAATTCTAACTACTATCTCAAAGCGAAACTTTTTGTGCCCGATTCGCCATGTTTATAAATACAAAACTGACCTAGCTTTTCTGTCTACAAACAGACGGTAATGAACATGACCTAACAAATTAACTGATGGTAGAAAATGTAATAACACAAATTAGTTGTTAAATTCAACACAAGTAACTGATATCGATGATGATTTGACATTACCATGTCTGGATGATAGTTGTGTGCAAACGAACATTCAAAGATATGTTCTTTAAAATGGCCAAAGGGTCAGTATATGAGACGGATGTTTGCGAAGCGAAATCCTGACACAGAAAGCAGTCACCAAAGCATTAAGAAAATATATTCTACTATTAGTAGCCACTGTTACTAAATTTAGTACGTATATGTATACCGAAATGAAAACAAATATACCTGATGTATCATTATGTCTTTACGGGGGTTCTTTAGACGAATCGTCAAGTTTCCTTCTTTGATATGACCAGTGAATAGCCTTTCGATGTTTTCTGAGATCTGAAACGCTTAAAAACCAATACAACTGATAGATACTTTAAATTTCCGACTCGTGTTTGAAGAACATTCCGAGATATATAATATAATATCTCCATTTTCTTCGCGGAGCGATAAGATAGCTTGTCTAGGTTTGCATCTAACTCGATGACAATCCACCAAATCCAAAACCAACACCTTCGAACATATTCTCATCACCGCCAATTCCAAAGTAACCAAATTGTGATGTACGAAAACAAAAAATTGTACCTCGACAACGCTAGGCAGAAACGATAGACTTTTTTGCCTTGGAATACGTGTCCATGTAGTAGTATAGAGTTCTTAATGATGAACAGGTATACTTTCAATATCTAATATCTTTTTCACTAGCTAGTATAAACTAGTTGCTCTATCCGTTCTGAACCGACAAGGGCGATCCATCCGCTTCTTAATTTCCAATAAATATGTGGCAGTAGATAGGTCCCAATATCCGAAATATTTTTTCACGAGCTAGTATAGACCAATTGATTTATTTGCGCTCGATTCTTGTTCTTTCTGTGCGGTTCCAGGTGTTCGGTAGTGTCCAATGAATGGGGGGTCTAGCCACTCGACTGCCTAATTCTAGTAAGTTGGCAGTCGGTTTTGAGTTTCTGTGTCTCGGGATTTGAATGAAAACGTTTGTTTCAGGGCAGTAAGGTTTCTGGATACCAGCAGCTATCACATTACCAGACCGGAGATCAGTTAGTTGCAATGTGGGGAATAATGAGGATAATTAGGATAAAATTCTAATGCTAATATGAATAAAATTTCGGAGCCGAGTAATATATAGATGATTTAGTTTATTAATTGGTAGTGAAGATTGTGAGAGACGATCGAAGTGTAAGCGAAGGAGAAGAAACAAAGATAATAGGCGAGATAGATTAATTGAGTGATCTGAGGAGATGGTAATGATAACAACTAGCCGGTCTGAAAATATGCATCATGAACAGCTTGTCCAAGAGGGAGATGATAATCCGTATGTGAGTAGGTGATTATCAAGTCTGTTCTTAAAGCTGTCTACTGAGGAGGCTGTGGTCACATCGGCTGGGAGAGCATGCAAAGTTGCGACGAATCGGAATGAGAAAAAGTGTGAACGAACCTGAGTATTCGCTCTTTGATGTGCAATCCTTAGAGGATTGCTTGGAGGGGAGTGGTGGTGATGCATCGGTAAGATGCTAACGTTTGGATGGTTTGGTGTGTTTGATATGTTGTACGCCATATTCAGATCACCTCTCGTTCTCCTGTAGCTCAATGGAAATGATCCCAACTGCTGGAGTCTATCATCGTAAGCTTTATTTTTCAACCCCATCACTCATTTAGTTGCTCGTCTCTGCACTCGATCCAAGAGATTTATGTCTCTTTTAAGCAGAAGGGGTGCGATGATGTTGTCAAATTCCAAATGTGGGTGCACATACATCTTAAATAGTGTTAAAAATAATTGTGGGGTGATAGCACCAAGCTGTCTTCGCATAAAGTGAACAGTGGCATTTGCCTTGGTAGCGTCCCCCACATAGTTCGGGCTCGTGTGAAGGCTTTCTTTGGTTATCGGACCGAAAATGCTCTCCGAGGAGACATTAAGGAGAGGACTCCTATTGAGCGTGTAGATCGTTTGCGTCGTGTGAGGCTGAATATGCATGACATGGCACTTCGGTTAGTTGAGTTTTAAACCGTTTTCATTGCCCATTCCTCAACAGATGTAAGGTCCTTTTGAAGCTCAGCCGAATCCTCTTCGCTTCTAATGGACCTCCAGATCTTCACATTGTCTGCCGGTGAGCTAACTGAGCCTTACAGGTCGCTAATAAATATCAGAAAGAGAAGTGCGCCTAAGATGGTCCCCTATGAAACTCCCGATGTGGATACTCGCCAGCTCGCGTGCACTCTGTTTACCTTGGTACGAAAAATTCCATTCTTAAGGTATTTTCTGAACCAAGATATGAGTGGGTTAGTGAAGCCCATTTCCACAACCTTCGCTATGAGCGTGAGTGGGTTACTGTGTCAAAGGCTTTTGCAAAGTCGAGAAATATTACGTGCATCGGTATTTTATGGTCCGAAAAGGATGTCCAACTGTCCCATGCTATGAAAAGATTAGATGCGCACGACCTGCCTTTCCGAAGCCCGTGTTGAGCTTCATGAGCTTCATGTACTCCCTCATTTATTCGTCCACCAGCACTTCCATTACCTTTTGTAGTATAGGTAGTAATGCGACTGTTCGTTGACAGGCTGTGTCCTTCCTATATCCTTCTTTGAAGATTCGAGAGAGAGAGAGTGGCTTGTTTCCATTCAACTGGGAGTTGGTGTGACTCCAGTGAATGCCTGAACAGGTCACGGTGAACTGACAGATTCCGCACATTATTTCAACACCATGTGGTGAATATTGTCACAACCTGATGACTTACCTGGACGTAAGGATGTTATTTTCCTTAGTACTAAATCAGGAGTCATACGGATGTTCCCTAAGCCGTCAGCTGGCACTGGGTTTGCGTAGTACTCTGAACATGTGGGTGCCTGGTTTAACTGATCATTAAAATTAGTGTTGAAGTTCTCAGCTATCTCTAGGTTGGTGAGGTCTTTCCCGTTCGGTCCTTTGAGAGAACACAACCCTTGACTGGTAGGTTTTTTTCGTACCTGAAACTAAACAGATGCCTCACGTTGGCCTCTATTTTGGCAGCTAGCTTCAGCTGAAGTTGTCTCCTATCACTTCCAACTTTGGTATTGCAGCTGTTTCTCAATGCCAAGTAAGAACTGCTATCTGAATCCTTCAAGGATACCTTCTACTCGTGCCAGGCTCTCCTCTTCGCCTGTAGCAAGCTTTCGGTGCCGCACCTAATCCAAGTTCTCCTATTCCCAGCTGTGTGGTGTGACTGAGGTACATTGTCTACGACAGCGTTCTGGATGATATCTCTCACTGTTCACCAGTGATCATCTACTGTGAGCCCCCACCAGTCCCGTGGCCATGAGGCGTGTAGGAGGACCTTTCTCATACGCGTAGAATTTGCCCTAGTGTAGCAGAGATAGGGCTCGTTTTTGTCCTGTGTGAGTGTTTCGTTTATGACCACTTTACACAAGACTGTGCCATGGTCACTACTACCTAATGATGTATGCACATGAACAACCTCAACCTGAAGTAAAACTTTCTGAAAGTCTTCGAAATTAATTATTACCTCACTAGTTTTACTGGGATCGCCCAAATTAAGGTGCTTGGTTACACATCTGCACCAAATCACTGTGGGATAAGCCTTGCAAAACATCTCAGCGCATGAACTGATAAGCTTAGTTCACTCACTCTCCAACATCCGAAACATGATTCGGATATATTTCCGATCCTCTTCATTCCCGACATCTCGTTTCATTTGGCATTGGTTACTTTGGATCGAAAATATGTTACGGATAAACTCGTTGCCCAACATCCTCATTGATAAGCACGGCGTGACCTGATCCCCTCAACGAGATACTGTGAGTCTGTTCTGTGTTATGTTGTTATATATACCTATTTACTTTTAAATATCGTATGTCCACTGATTTTCAACCTTACTTCTTGTTTATTTACGCATATTCTATTCTTATTACGTCAGAACACAAGCCAAGGCTGCCTGAGAATAAAACGTTTTAGCCCCCGGACTTTCTACTGATGCCATTCTTGTCTGATATCTGGGCCTGATTCTACTGTGCAGATGCTGACTCCTTGGAGCACGGCCTGACAGATACACGTGCGCACTCCTCGCCGTAGTAAAAGCACTACCACATGAGTTGAACGGGCACAATACATCTATCATATTAACTAGTCATGTTTCTGCGCCCTATGACACCATAAAAAAAGATGCTCAAACGTGGAGACCTAAATGATCGCCTAAGGTTACAGCAGCTTTTCCACAACAATAAACTGCAGCGCGGCACTGCAACATAAATGTTACTGCCTGTGAAAGAGATCATTGACCAACGAACCGTCGGTTAAGTCCTTTCCCGAAAACTCTCGGTCCAACATTTCACAACAGGTGCATGCTGTATTCGTCTCATTTTAAAAAAAGCAGTGGATGAACTAGCTCCATCTGCCAATTAAATTCTGAGGATTACCGGAATTTCACCCCTGAGGTTTGCGCTTGAGAACACACAGAGACCGACCAGAAACGAAATTACACACCTCTATGGTACAGTATCGCGCTGCCCATGCCTAATACCCACGAATGTTTAGGTAAACCTGCTGTTTCCTAAACCCTTAGTCATCTGTCACTACCAATCTGGTTAAACCATAGGGCACTTATTAATCGTAGCAGTGATCGGTAGACAGAACCACCTTTACACCATCAATGTGACGACGGAGGTTTGCTATCTCATCGATACTGGCGCAGAAGTTAGTCTCCCTGGAGCTAACCCAAACGATAGTGTATGCAATCTAGAATGCAAACGGAAAACCGATCGCCTCTCACAAAAGGTACATTTACCCTAACGTTGGTTTATGCGAACCCATGCACTGGATTTTCGTGGTGGCAGACCTATCGATATCAATCACTGATATAGATTACTATAACACCATAAACTACCTGTCGGCTCACGTGAACAGAAGTCGGTAGACAGTATAAATAACTTATCTGTTCGTGTGGTTTCATGCTCTGGTTGTAGGTTATGTCCAGACAGGGATAAACGCGTAATCGACCTGACACTATATCACACACGACCACAATTACTGTGCTGAACTAGCAATGTTGAACACCATATCTCAGCAGAAGGACCACCCATGTCCTCAAAACTCTAGCAACAAGCTGCCAGAAAGCTGAAACTTTCCAAAAGTGAATTGAGCCACATGATAGATTTAGGAATTATCCGACAATCAAACAGCCAATGGTCATCCCTTTTGGAAATGTTCCCAAAAATAACAGGAATAAATGTTGTTCAAATGGTGATTATCGACCACTGAATACGAAAACCACACCCAACCATTACACGCTACCTCACATCCACTACTTAACAGATGCTTTGAAAGGTGCGAACCCAACCAAATATCATCTACAAAATAAATTGCTCAGATTATGAAAAACAATACATAGGACAAAGTGGACGGACTCTTCAGCTTCGTTTACGTGAACAATAATTAGCAGTCAAACGCCACGACAATTCTTCGCTTATATTATTACACACCGACAATTTCGGACATAAATTTGATTGGAACAATGCGGAAATACCGAATAAGAAAAGAACAAAGAACACTAGAGAAGTTTTA